GGGGGGGGATCAGTACTAGACGCATTGCGGCGTTTCAAACTTTTGAACGCACAGCGTCGGTTATTATAAATTATGAGAGCGTACTAACGGTACGCCTACCCTACAACGGTGAACAATATACAATCATCTACAGTCAGAGGCGAACACGCATACGTGCGGGCAAGCACCAATGATATCCACATATACATATACAAACGCATAATTTACGAATTACACGTTTTTGTTCTAATAATATTAATAGCAAAAGCCCAAAGTTGATTGTTATGAATACGTGCGAGTATAAAAATATCTATTCGAAAAAAGGACAACACACAATGATTTCCAGATTTAGTTTGCAATGGTAAACATTAGCTTCGTGAGATTCTATAGATTACTTTCGTGAGAAAGTAATTATTTTCGACTCGAATCAGTGTAAAAGTTCAAACATTCACATATGTAAAAAAAAAAAAAAAAAAAAGAGTTGCTAATTTTGAAAAATTAATACAAAAAATGACATTCTAAACAGTGGCGGACTCTATTTTTCGGAGTCGGTCATTTTACTAAATTTAGCCTCGAGATTCTTTTACTTGTCTAAATTTTTTTTATTATTATTGCTTTTATTAGTCCATTAAGGGCCATAGCGACCTCCCCCTAGGAGCAGGTTTTCTTAACCATTTATTCTCCGGGACGGGTGGTTAGTCCGTCGCCGGAGAGTGGGATGGCGACTCCAATTACCGAACTGATCTCTCGTTGGGCAAATGAAGCCGCCGTGACCGAGTTTCGAACCCGAGACAGTGCGCGTCAAGCAACGCCGCGTTACCGACTCGGCCACACCGTCCCATTATCTAACTATTACCTTAAATCGACCTTGATAATTTTTTCATGTTTTTTAGTGGCCCTAGCTTACAAGATTTACTAAGGGCTATAAAGGTTTGGAAAATAAATTTAACAGATTCTCGTCTAGGAAAATCAGAAAAATGTCATTCCATGTAATTAAACCTCATGCGGAATGCGCTTACCTAGGATTTCCTCGTAAGGCCGCATGGTGCAAAGCGTTGAAACCGTTATTATTGGCTAACATTATGTCGGCTCCACCCGATCCAGTACCGTTGCCGTCCAACAGCATTGCCACGATGTCGTCGCGCTTCTTTGAGATGGCGTCGTGCAGCGGTGTATCGCCATCGGTGTCCTGCAAACAAAACGATAAAATATACACACCGAAGGAATACAAATCGAGAGGATTATACACGAAAAAAAAATTCTATTAAGTAAACGGATTCATTAGAATTGAAATCGAAGAAAAGGATTTTTCGATAGACACGTTGTAAAGTAATGAATTAGGATTTTTTGATATCTCGAACTGCAATGAAATCTCCCGAAACTACCATTACGAACAATAATGTTTTTCACTAGATAACTCGAAAGAAAATTAATAATTCGATTTAAGTCGTTACATCTTGGGAATAATAGGAAATTTTACAGTAGGTATATAATAATAATAAACGTAAATTAAATGTTCTCACTATTTCGCAAAAATGTGTGTAAATACATTTGGTCGAAGAGGGAAAACGTAAAAAATGTGAAATTGCTGAAGAATTTAACTATCTGCCGAATATATTATCGTCAATTATGAAACAAAAAGATAAAATTTTAATGTTTTATACTAATGGTAACGTGAAAAAAATGAGGTTGACATTCTATACGGACAAATGCTTATTAAAATTATTTACTTAGTATCAAGATAAAAACATACAAATATGTGAAGCAACTTTACATAAAAACGCAAACATTTATGCTTAACAATTAGAGCACACTAATTTTAAAGTCAGCAGTGAGTGGCTAAAAAATTGAAAAAAAAAAGACATGTCATTTTCCGAGAAGTTTGCGGGGAATGTGCTTCCACCAACACATATAAATGCTTAAGAGTTAAAAACCTTCTAGAAATGTTAGCAGATTTTTCTTCTAATAATATTTTTAACGTGGTCGAAACAGACTTGTTTTTTAAATGTTTATCAGATAAAACTTAAATACAGGTGGAAAATATGACAAAGATCGTATATTAATTATGTTAAGAGCGAATATGTCCGGGAACAGAAAAACTTAAATCGTATATCATAGGTAAAGCAACGAAACCTAGGTTATTTAAAGGAATTAAATCTCTATCGTTTATAGGTCAAATAAAAAAAAATTAAATGAATTCTTATAGGAAGCTATCGACAATACTGATAGTAGCGATAATGAACATGAACCACAAAAAGAGAAGTAAGTCATTATAGTTTCTATACAACAATCCAAAGTTCACAATAAGAACAATTTTATTGAAAGTACTAAAAGTATGGAAAATAGTGTTTTTTCTTCTTTATCAATATTAGAAAAAATTATCGAAGAGAGAAGTAAGAAAAAATGAACTGTACTGACACATTATTTAAAAAAAATTATTTTAACGTTATGCATTATACAGAGTGTCCAAAATCCCAAAGGAAACAGATCTATTGTTACAAAAAATGAGAACAACATAAACGGTTTCCTTACTTACTGAACACTCTACATGTTTTACGGCAATTTTATAAATCTTTATTTATTTTTATTAAAACTGAATATCTCGAATTTTTTGATAACTCGACATTTTTTTTGTTTCTCTCGAGATTTTACATAACGAAAACCTACTGTAACGTTCTAAATAATTACAGAATAAGAGGACCAAAATAGTTTGTAGATATTAATAAAAAGCAAAGCAATTGTCTATTTAGTTTAAAATAGTATGTGCCAATAAAGACTGGCACGGATTAAGAGGACAAGAGGGTTTGACATCCTCTTGTGGGTCTTGTAGCGTTCACCGCTACAAGAACCACAAGTGTAACGGGCTCATCTCAAATTTTACTAACCTAGTCATGATTACTATGACAAGTTATTGTTCGTGTCAGAAAAAACGGGAAAAACTAATTGTCTAGGGTATTATTAAAAATATTTTTTAATTATTACTAAACCTTCAAAATCGATGATTTTCGATCAAATACCACCATAGTACGTATATTAAAACACTTGATCACACTCACCTGCAGACTGGGCAAACAATTAAGTCGAAGAAGGGTACGGACCACAGAAGCATGTCCTCGGTTGACGGCGATATGTAATGCGGTCTGTCTGCGCTTGTTTCGAGCATTTATATCAGCGTCGTACTCACCGACCAAAAGCTCAATAACTTGAGGTTCGTCTCCAAAAGCAGCGTGATGTACAGCACGGTCTCCGTCTTTGTCCTAAAAAAAAAAAACAAGAAGAAAATTATCAGCGGGGCCGTCTCGAAGCTAATAATATGAGAAATGAAAAATTTATTTATAATTCCTTTTTTAATCGTCCTTTTTTTATAATTACTTTTTGGTATCATTCTCTTAGATTAAAAAACTACCGACTAAAACGATTAAATTTTGTCGAGTGATACCAATGTATAATCTTATTAATTAAGAAAACCACGTCTTAGAATATTTGAGAATTCGTCATTTGTTTTTGTCTAATGACATAACCATAAAAAATATTAATAAATCAATAAACATGATATTTCAATAAATGACATTGGTGTTAAAAAAATCCATAACTTTTAAATTAATTATCTAATTTATTATATATTTGTATCAAATAAATTATATCACCGTGTAGAAAAGCCCACTTACTTAAATAACTAAAGAAATATTTAATATCATTGTTTAATTTACAGAATCGAAATTGCCCTTTTAGAAGAGCAAGTGTGATCCTAATTTGTTTTTATTATTTATTAAGCACTGGAAAGTTAAATTTTAATTTATTTGAATATTTTAGTATATGTGCAGGGAATATGATAGATTTTCTGTCATATATAATTATTTAATAAAGGAATAGACACATTAAGCTTACATATTTACTAAACATCACCTTAGAAAAAAAAAAAAAAATTTCAAACTATAAATTTATATATTTCATTAGAGTATTCAAAAAGTGGCTTGTATAAGATTTTTTCATAGAGAATAATACGTAAGGAAACTTTTTACTACTTTCTTGTGAAAGCCCTATTATTAAAATTCATAAATAAAAAGTCATTGAATTAAAATAACTTTTAATAGATTAAGTTAGTTCAATCATTCAATAATAATCAATCCGGTTATAATAAATTTATTACTTAATCTAAACATATTCCATATGAAAATCTAACGTTGATTGCGAACCTGGAATAACGAAATATTATATGTGTCCATGTATAAAAAATGTCATGAAAACCTTAATTTTTAAAAATTATTTCAATTATGAACCTTAAATCCTGGTAGAACTTAATTTTTTTACTAAAAATTTAACGTTATTGTTGAACTGTTTCAATTTCTGCACAGATAAAATTATGAATACATTAAAAATAAAATTTATTTGGCAAAAAAAAAAAGTTATTATAATTTTATTGCTTGCTTATCAGAAGAAATTATTCTCTTAAAAACTAGATGAAAAAAATAAAAAGCCAAATACAGATTAATGTCAGAATTATATTCAAATACAGTTAAAATATTTTTCTACTTTGTTAGCTAATAAAAATTAATCAAGATCATTAATAATTATTAGTGAATATTTTGTTAAAAAAGTGAAATGTAGATTGTAGTTGATGAAATAATTATAAGATAATATTAACAAATCAATTAAACATTTTAAAAGAAAATTAATAAAAAAAAATCATATGTAACACTCCGTGAATGAATTTTGAGATATTAAGAATTAAAACCTAAATCAAAATTATTGAACCAACAAACAATCATATTTCAATTGTTTATCAATTTGATTTTCAAACTTTTTTTACTAGAAATATTTTAATGAAAAGCTTTTAAAAACAGTCGATACTCCGCTTTAGAGAAGTATGACAGTAATAAAAATATTATAATATCCTGTTGAAATAAGACCTGAACTAGAGATTTAACACCCGAGCATAGTAGAATTTTTAATAATGTTCTTATTGAGCCCATACACACCTCAAATTCAACATTTGCTCCATATTCAGCAATTAACATTTTACACAGTCGGACATGTCCATTTTGTGCAGCTGCTTGTAAGGCGCAGTGCCCATTGTACACATAATCAACGAGACTGTTGTTAGTTACTGTAGGTTGATCTCTATCAGCTGTTTGCAAAGTCCCATCTAAGGGAGTGACAACAGCAGAATCTTGGGTCAGAGAGACTGAAGGAGCTGTTATTGAAGCTCCAGTATTTGTAGGCGGTGGATCTAAGGAGGAACTAACACTCAGTTGATTAATACCATTACTGTTATTATTGCTACTGCTAGCACCGTTATTGTTGTTGCTATGGTTTGGAACGGAAGAACTGAAGTTGTTGTTCATACTGTTGGTTTCTATTCCAATACTAGTCAGATTGTCTTGTTCTTGCTGAGAAGCATCTAGTCGCTTAGTGAATAGTTCGAGTATGTGACGGCATGTCTGCATGTCACCATTAGCTGCTGACCTGACCAACTGTTCACCCAAACGAACTGTATCGGATGGTCCAATTTTGGCCAATTTCATTTTCTCGATCAATGAGGCTGTAATAATAATATTTAATATACATAAAAACTATAATAAGAACTATACTTTTTTTATTTATTATCTATTTATTATTTATTTATTATTATTTATTTATCAAAATATTGATAAAAAACATGTTCTATGTAAGCTAATATATAATCTAAATACCTTCATCACAATCTCCTTCACGCGCATACAGTAAATCTCTTAATTGCTGGTCATCTCCTGTTCCTCTAGATTCTCCTACTGCTCCCACACCACCATAATAATAATACCCTCCAGCTGCTACAGCTCCAGGTATTGGTCTACTGGACCGAGATGCCAGTGTTAAGCATCTAGGATTGTAAGTCCAAGATGTGTCGCAAACAGCAACTTTCAGATCACCATCATCGTATACTTGCTGAACCACACCAACTTTACCCAAAGTCTGTGAGACATAAATAAAAATAATGATTAATTAATTAATAAACTTTTAAATATGAAGACTTAGATTTTGAGGTAATGAATGCCTGGAAATATTGTTAATATTAATATAATTTAAAGAATATAAGATTATGAGTGTTTTTTTATATTCAATCCAATCGATCTCTTTCACATTATTCAATTGGAATGTAAAAGAAAAAAATGTTTTGTTTTTAATGTTTGTTATTGTGTTTATGTAAAATTTATTGTGTTTATCATAATAGGCATAAAATCTATTAAAAATTAATAAATCATGAAGTAAATAAAGCAGTTGAAATGAAATTACAAAAAAGGAAATACATATATGAAATGTTTTATTTCACATAGAATATTGATAGTGAAAATATAGAAGAAATGATGTTAACAAAAATAATTATCAATAAATATAAAAATATTTTTGGTTTTCGTACCATCAACATTGCATCTGCCCATTCTCCATGACCTCTTTGAAGGGTTTTGACACGTTGTAAGTCAGCATCCACAATAACAGTTGATCCAACAGTTATTGTAGCCGGTGTCAATGAAGCAGCATCGCTAGAAGCAGCAGCACCACTTGAAGCGAGATTTCCAGAAGATACTTTTGTCAACACTGCAGCATTAAATGTCCATCTAAAAAATATATAAATATGCAATTATAAATACCATAATATTTTAGAGATAAATTTGATTAGTGCATGTTGTTTGCTGACGATATAGTGTTAATAGGAGAAAATAGGGAGGAAATTAATTAAAGACTAGAGGTATAGAGATCAACTCTTGAAAAAAAGGGTTTAAGAATAAGTAGGAGTAAGACAGAGTACAAGTTTGATAAAGGAGAACACACGAGGTAGGTGAAATAAGGAGACCAGTGACAACAGGCGAGGACGTGATTGTAAAGGTGGAAAGTTTTAAGTATTTAGGATCAGTTGTGCAAAAGAGCAGTGTTATTGACGAGGATGTAAGACACAGGATTAAGTGTGAGTGGTTGAAGTGGAGAGAAGCGTCTGGTGACTTATGCGATAAGAGAATTCCAATGAGGCTGAAAGGTAAATTCTACAAGACTGTAGTGAGACCAGCTATGATGTATGGTTCAGAGTGTTGGGCGGTTGATAAGAAAGTAGAGCAGAGAATGAGTGTAGCAGAGATAAGAATGCTAAGAATACTCGATGAATGGAGTGACTAGAGAAGATAAGATAAGAAATGAGCATATAAGAGGGAGTATAGGTGTAGCGTCAATCGTGGATAAGATGAGAGAAAATAGACTTAGATGATTTGGTCATGTTACGAAGAGAGAAGAATCAGAAGCTGTAGCAACAGTTATAGAAATGAATGTTGAAGAAAGAAGAGGTAGAGGAAGACCAAAAAAGAGATGGAGGGATGCTATTGAATGCGATATTTGGACATCTGATGTGAGCGTAGAGGATGTGGGAGATCGTGTCAAATGGAAGTTTAGGATAAGGGTGGGTGACCCCAAGTAGTTGAGATTAAGGCGAGGAAGAAAAAGAAGAAGATTTGATTAGTGTAAACAGTGCATGGCATTAATAATTGCATCTGCTCTATTTCAATTTACCACAACTGTGTATGAATTAGATAAATAAATAGCATTAATCATATTTCGGGGACTTGGTATAATGCAGTGGATTATTCAGTTGCCACCTTAGTAAAGATAGGTGACTATATAGGAACTTTAACAGTGATACAAACCTAATCCCTCACTAGCTCATTCAGCTATAATGAGGTTGCATAAGGTCAATTAAAAATAATTAAATAAAACATTTAAAACACCAATAAAACATTTTTTTAATGTAATGGTTGTTTTTAATTTTTTTTATGTCTAAAAAGCTTTTTGAAAGTCTGAGTTTGTCATTAGGGAATCTCATTTTCATTCAATTATTTTTACAGTACCTATTGCCACTAGGATAAGACACTACAATGTCATGATCTTCGTCCACGCCTACAACAGATCCAATAGCAAGGTAGTTAGCCTCTCCTGGAAGTGAACCTGGTGTTCTCCTAAGACATTCAAACATACCATCAGTCCATCCTCCATGACCTTGTTGCAATGACTGTACAACATCCAACTCCAAGTCTACTGTTACCTGGAAAAAATAAAATATTAAAAGTATTTGCATAGGCTAACGATAATTACATCACATTAATTTCGTTAACAATTCTATAATTTTATGTCTTAATAAATAGATGGGAAACATAAGTATTTTATAAATGTTATACATTAATCTAAACTTGTAATTTTAAATATTTTATAGATTAATACAGTAATAAAAAATATAAAAATAAAGACTCAGAAAAAGGAAATATTAAATTAGTTATAAGAATTAAGCGCTCAAAAGTCAAGCTAATTAATTCCACTTTTTATTTTTAAGTGTTAAATTTTCTAATAAAAACAAGCTATTATTAATACTCTCTTTTTAATAATAATACTGTAATATAATATAATATAATTACATACTTGATCACCTATTTGCAACTGCTGTTGTTGTTGTAATAAGTTAACCCCAGCATCAGGCAGACTACCAGGCATTAATTGACCTAATAGTGGTAGATGGTCACGGTACACTGTACAAGAAGCTTTAGAATCTTGTACAGTTTTTAAATCACACTGAAAAAAAATTAGTTTTTTAATTTAATAATACAAAAAATTATTTTTATTATTTAATTTATCAATTTAAGACTTTATAATGACTATTGTGGATTACCAAAAAATTATTTTTTCAAGAAATGGAAAAAACAAGATGAAATTCTTTAAAATTGCCAAATATATGCTATTTTATCATTGATATTAAAAGTAATTTACACCGATTTATTTATGGTTTTCAATTAATCTAAAATATTTCACATATAATAATAAAAATATAAAATATCATTATTTTAAATGGTACTTTGTATTAAGGAATTACTACTCTATTATATTAATTTTAATTTAAACAGTTATGAAGTCTTTATATCTCAATTGGAAATTTGAATTTTGTATCAAATTAAATAGATTATCATGTATATTCTTATTACCAGTAATAATTCATACAAAATAGTATTTCATTATGTAATGTTTCACTAAATATAAAAATCTTTAGAACTATGAAGGATACTTTTAAATATTTCTATTGATACACACCTGAATGGTACAGAGAAAAAACAGTAATAGTCTATTTTTTTTATTTAATGATTTGATTTGATAGTCTATTAGTAGTGGTATATAGTAATGAAATCCATTTGATTATATTTAAGTGTTTATTTTTGTTTTATCATTAAAAAAATACAATTATAACTTTATTTTTGCACTCTTGAAAAACTTACCATTTTCCTCATGTACTCTCTATTAAATAATAATAATAATAATAATAATGAAACCAAATACATTATCTCAAAAATAAAATCAGTAAAATGGTATAAGTTTAATTTACTTGTTATAATTATTATGTATTATTATAAGATATGAATAATATAGATGAAGAAAGAAGAATATTTGAAATTTATCTATTATTATTATTAAATGGATTTGATTAATTTTTTTCAATAAAAGAAAGTAAAAATTTTGAAAATGTTTTCACCACTATGCAGGTATAAAGATTGAGTTCCTTTGTGTTTCCTAACTTTAAATGAAATTAATTTTTATATTTTTTAATGCTTTTAATGCATTGTTGCAATTGATACTTCTAAGCCAGGAAAATATTAATGAAAAAAATAAATACTAATTCTCAGAAAATAACAATTAAGTTAAATTTATAAAGAGATAATTCAGAAATAATATTTGAATTAAGTTTATAAATTAAATTAGTAAATTGATTGATACATTTACATTGAATTAGTGAATTATTTTGTGAACTTGGAAGATTCATTTTGAATGAGTTATATTATTATATTGTGAAAATTTTATATTAGAAAAATATACAAGATTTTTTTTTTTATTTCATTGAATTCATTCAGTATAACTATGTCTATTAATTAACATATAATAAATAAAACCTATTTTCTAAAAGTTTAATGTAAATATAATAAAAAATTTTTTATCTTTCTTCTAAGTAATATTTACAAAATTTAAGACATTTTTATTTTGAAATATTTTTTCAAATTAATAAAAAAAAACTAAAGTTAAATTTGAAATGCCAAAGTGGGAATAGGAACTATGATAAGAATAAATACTGAGGATTTAAGTTTAAAAATATCCTAATGTTTCTTGTATGTTATTACAATGATTATACAAGTACACACCATTCCTTCAAATCCAACCCTGTATAAATTTTTAGTGCCACCAGCATTTTCCCAGCACACGTAAGCGGCACTCCTAGCACTTGCAGCCGACCAATCTTGAATATCATGTACTTTACCGCGGCGATTGTTGTTTGCAGTTGCATTGTTCTGGCCTGATAAATTAGAAGAACAGCTTCCACCACCATCTTGATCTTCCCATTGCCAATCAACACCCCTGACAACGCGAGCTCCAGCAAAAATACCACGTACTGAAATCTTTTTAGATTTTTTTCTAGATTCCATCAATTGCCTGTAAATAAATAATAATAAAGGCTCTTCATATATGACAATTTTAGAATCATTCATAGTTTAAATGAGAAAAAGAGGAAGAAATAGGGTCACAGTGATATGACAGTAGATAGATCTAGAGGAGGCTTTCGATAAAGTGGATTGAAGAATCTTATTCAAGATATTAAGAGAAGAAAGAATTGACTGGAAATATAGAACCGTTTATAATTTATCTTCAACTTTATATAAGGATTAAACAACAGAAATAAATGTAAATGGATTGGTAAAAGAAGCAAGAATAAGGAGGAGTGAGACAAGGATACTCTTTGTCGCACTATCTATTTAATCTTTTCAATGAAATGGGCATAGATATAATGAAAACCAAGACTAATGAAGTAAAAATAAATGGCCAACATATAAACTGTATTCACTTTGAAGATGACATTGTTATTTTAACAGAGTCTGAACATGACATGAATTAAATGCTAAAAATTCTATCAAGTGCATTTGATAAATTTAAAATGAAAATAAATTTTATGAAAACCAAACAATGCTTATAAGTATAATGCACTCAGATCTAAATCTTAATATACAAATATACAATACATGATTACAACAGGTCTGAGAATTCTGTTACCTTGAAAATACATAACTTTCAATAAAAAAAACAACGCCAGAAGAAAAATAGCATTGGTAAAGCAAGCATTCCAAAATAAGAATTTGCTTCTCGCCAATCTGAGCACTGGCATATATGAAAGATTCGTTAGAACACTTTTTAGAAATGTGCTTTAGTAGTTTTATTCGTTAATTATGTAGATAATGTCTCTCATATTTTTAAGAATTGATGTACTTAACTCACTAAATGGAAAGCGATGTCTGTGATATAATAAATTGTTGTGTTAGCTACTGATACGGTACCGTGTTTCCCTCAGCCGCACATCATGTTATCAACCTAAATGAAAGTGTATCGGGATCTGAATCAAAAGTGCACGGTGGCCTAGTGGTAAGGTTTGTCTATACGACGCCTTGGGTCGCGGGTTCTAATCCCGTACCGTGCCTCTTTTTTTCACATGATTTCCGGTACACTTTCTATAACCGGCCGTCAATCCCCGGCGGCCGTGTTACTACACATGAAAAATTTTGTATTTATTAATAGCCTATTGTCATGTTATGAACTTAAATGCTTAAGTATGCACTGTACTATTACACTTAATGTTTANTTTAGGTCGCGGGTTCTAATCCCGTACCGTGCCTCTTTTTTTCACATGATTTCCGGTACACTTTCTATAACCGGCCGTCAATACCCGGCGGCCGTGTTACTACACATGAACAATTTTGTATTTATTAATAGCCTATTGTCATGTTATGAACTTAAATGCTTAAGTATGCACTGTACTATTACACTTAATGTTTATGATAGATAAAATTAGAAAACTTGTACAACTCAGTAAAATAAAATTGAATTAATTCACAATGGTAAATATACAATTTTAGAAGTACTATTTTTAAACAGAGTTCAAGAATCTTAAAAATGAAAATTTTATCCTAAAAAAGCTTCAAAGAAACAAGCATGTTAATATATTTCCGATAATGATTAATGAAGATAATAAATTTTGATTTTTCAATATAAAAATTGGTTATAAAATAATTTTTGTTATAAAAAATATTAAATTAATTTTTTCATACAAATGTCCTTGATGTTAAAAAACAAAAATAATATATTTGTTTACAATTTAATATAAAATAAAATATTGAATGAAATAATAAATTTTTCTAAAATATTTCAGGAATAGTATTATAAATAAAATATTAAGCAAAACTGAGTATAATACTCAGCTTCTACTCAACTAGTAATCTATACAATTTGATAAATCTTTAAATATAACAATTTAATAAGTGGATAATGAAACACAAAGTTTGCTTAATAAAATTGAATATAGACTGACAACATTCTTATTTATTGACTAATTCATACTACTCAAATGAATTGATTAGTTACTATATATTAAACAGAAAAATTATTTATATAATAGCGATTAAATTAAATGTACACTTGTTCAATTTAAGCTTACAATTTAACTTAAATTGTTATCTGTGTACCTAAATTATTTCATAAATGTGAAATTTTCAGGGAAGTATTTATACCCACCTATCACTCATAGAAGTAGCGCTAGTAATTCTATAAAAACGATGACGGATATTGTGTTTGTCACCATGGTAGCACCATGTACACAAATCATAATTTGCACAATCAGCACATTTCCATCTATGTCCAACAATTGGTTGTTGATGGCACATATCACACATACTACCCAAATGTCTTTGACCTAAAAAATTATATTATTTATAATTAATTTTAAATTATAAAATAATATTATGAAGTTAAATAACAAAACTTATAATTAGTATATTATATTATATAAAAGTAAATAAAATAAATTATATTAAGTTCATAATTTTGGTTATAGAGTATTTTTTAGTAAATGAATAAAAATAGTTATTTATTATAAACTCAATTAGTGTGATTATTTTGAATTCATTGTATAATATTACAACATTACAAACTAATAATTTTTAATGAAATTTTAGTTAATCTAAAACTCAAAAGATCCTATTGAATTTTATATTCTATTGACAAGGAAAAAGTCATTAATTTCTAAATTTATTATTATTTAACATTAAAAATTATATTATAAATTATTTAAGTTAAAAATTAAATTTTATAAAAAAATAATTAATTTAGCATAAGTAAGTAGAATTATTCTTATTAGGCATTGTTTTTGTTAAACTAAAATGAAATTCTGCTTTAAAAGCAAAATATACATGGAAAAAGAACACTTAAATTTTAGTTAAGGGTAAAATGTTCAAAACTTTTAAAAATGGACAAATAAAATTACATTCTTACCTGTTGGACCACTGTCGAGAACTCGTAAATCATATTGGCCAAAACAACGGTAATTGGCTGCTGTGCCATTGTCCCATACCACAACGACTTCTTCACGTGATTCAAAATTTCTCACTGTCCCTGTATGTCCTTCTCCACCATCCTATAATTTGTATTAAAATTATTATAACACTTTCAAATGCAATTATAATTAGTAAGATATGATCATGTTGAGTAGATATAATAACATATTTATTAGTCATTACCAACTTTTTTTATTACATAAAGATAAAATAAATTATTCAACTTTTTATAGTCTTGAAAATGTCCTAGTACTACTAACAAAATATATACAGTAATTGTATACATCTATTGTACGCTTGTATTAATTATTGATATAAGCAGACTCAAATTTACAAAATTACCACGTCTACATTAATAAAAATAGGATAGAGCTTATTTATAACCTAACATTTTTAAAAAATATTTTAAGACTTTTTTTTTTATGCAAATTTAAGTGCGAATGAAGCATGAACATTTTTTTTAAGCTATCCAAGAAATATGACTTTTTTCACCAAATTTTATATAATATTTTTGCCTATGTCCATCCATTAAAATTTAACCATTAGAAAAACAGCTATGCGAGAGTGCTTATTTTCTATACTTTGAACAAAACTTATATTCGGTTAAAAACTGATTTGAATGATTTACAAATTTAGTTTGGATAAGAATTTTGGGACATCATCATCAATGATTCAGTCTGTCAGTTATGTGTCTATTTAAGTAAACAAGGTTTGATGACAAACGAACATGATATTTGCCTTCATTAATTTTGAAAGTTTTAATCAAGATACTACTGAATAATAAATACCTGCTTTCCCCATTTCCAATCGGGGCCCCGTATGACCCTTGACCCCACCTGTTGTTGTAACTCTTGCATATCGAAATGGTTATGTCGACCACGTTCTTGTTAGCTTTTTGATTTTGTTTCTGTTGTCACCAACGTGACCGCACTTTCTCGGAGTGTTTCCAATCGATAACAGACAACACGGTCATTACCTAACGCCACAGGTGTGTAACGCGGTATGATATTTTGACGGATTATATGACAAATTGTGGCGGGTTTCTAGGAAAAGAAAAACAAGAAACGAGCACATTCGTTTTAATCAGTTATAGGCATCGTCGCATATAAAAACAAACATGTAACAACAAAACAATAGCGACGATCACCGGACGTAGCTCGTTACTTAATTTAGAACAAAACAATATGAAAAACAATGATGGCAAGTCTAACAACGATAATAGTAATAACAAAAAAAAGCGACGTCCACCAAAACCAAATACACGCACCAAGTTCTGTATTTACACTCAGTGATTAATATGATCGCTGATTTAGACGGTTATCAGATAACGTCGAATCCCGTCGATTGAACTTGTCGCTACGTATCACTGAGAAACCCGCGGACGACGAGTTGATAACGTTGACGGACGAGCCCTGATAAGGTGATGTTTAGTCTGGTGAATTTGCCAAAACAGCTGCTATGCTCAGCTGACGCTCATTAGCATTTACCCCCGGGATTTCGCGATAAGGCGGTCGAATTTCCGGACGAAGCCACTAGGCGGATCCCGCCGTGCAATGAGTCACAATCGGGTACTTTATGCTTCCTTCTTCTTGACCGCCTTCCAACCCTCCCACCAATTCGACGACAGCCTAATCAGCTGACCCCACCATACTGCGTACAACGAATTTATTTCGCAGATAACAGCAAGCTCACAGTGTGAGTGCGTGCGCCTGTGCTTCATGATACGCGTACAATCAGGTGGACGGAGTACGGATGTAGAGCGCGACGACAAAAGAACTGCTGTTCGACGACGTCGATAATACAGAACGTTACTTAACAATAGGAATAACACACGTTCCACGTACAAACATTCGTTGCCGGCATCGATCACGTTTATTTATACCCATATTAGTAATAATAATAATAATTGCTCTATTAATAATGTTGATATAATAATCCTTTGTTATTACCCATTATCGACGTCGTAATCTTTGCTAAAAATCGATTTTGATTTAGTCTTAAATGAGGTTTCAGCCGGACGCTACTGCTTTTACAGTGAATCGTTTAATTATTGTTATTGTCAATTCTGAAATTATTTTTCGCTCTACAACTAACCGCATTAGTCATAATAATTTTTTGTCATTCTTCGTCGACCACACCTACTAGTAATTGCATTAAATGTAATTACACTAGTGACGACATTACCAGGACACATAGACACAAATATTTATTGTATTTGTCTGTATCTATATAAACGATTTTCAAACTGCTCGACCAGCCAGTTAACACAAAGATTTCGAATTATCTTCTTCGTGCAAACTGTCGGATTTAAATCATCAGCTACGGTTCGAGACAAGTATTCATCCCACCGATCCGAAATGGTATACATGGGCAACAATGTAGTTGATCGTGGTCGTCATCGTCATCATCATCATCATCATCAAGAGCAACAACATCAACATCACCATAGGCATCAACATCTCCTTCATCATAACCACAGTAATAACAAACCTAGACTTGATGAAAAGGACAGTCGCTTCGATTCCAATCATTTCTACTGGGATGACAACCAAGCAGTCGTGGATAATAATATTGATCCAGTTGATCCCGCTCTGTACCTATCGGTGGTAGGAAAACCCTTGTTGTATTCAACAGGTACTCCACCAGAGAGTGACCTGTTGTTTACCAATAAAAGTGATGCCAACAATCTGTTGCTCTCTTCTCCATTTGACAATAATATTTACATCAACAAGACACCGACTAATGACAGGGTCGATGCTGCTACGCAAGTATCTGATTTTCCAAAAACTATCTGTGATGAACAATGTAAAAATGACTACCAAGTATCTATGTTATCTCAAGCGATCAGACTCTCCAGTCCTTGCTGTGTCACCATGGGAAACCGACGTGAACTGAGAGGATTGTTTCATTTAAAGCCTTTAGGAAATCAGGTATATATTATATTTTGTAAAAATACCGAGATTATTTTTTAATAGTTATATTCAAGAAAGTTCAACACTGTATAATATGTCATGTTGTAATAAGGGTAATTTTGTGAAGTAATATTAAATATTGTTAATTATATTCATAAGAATACTATATTTTTGTAGAGTGATGCTCAAAAATATCTAGTAATATTTATTTGATTCATTTGTACCTAATGGAGTCAATAAATATTGAATTTTGTATTCATGTTGTTATGATTTTGAAATAACAAGTTTGAATTATTAATGAACACATCAGAGTGTCTGAATAACATAATTTAACTCTTTCTATTTTTTCCAATTTGAGTTTCATCGAAGGCAATACTAATACAGATTAAAATCATTTAAAAATTGAACATTACTATCCTAAATGACTAACAAGCAGTTAAACAGATAATAAAATACACCTACAAATTTGGTCTTTTAATGCTAAAGGGTGTTTTAAAAAACAACAGTACAAACCACTTTTAGAAAATTGTTTATGAAAACTGAAGCCTATTTCAACATATCAAATTTCTACCTGATTATTTTTCATAAAACTATCAAAACTCATTGGTCTCCCATGTTTAACTATATAAATACTTACATTCGGTTATTTTATTTTACATATATATTCGTTGATATAGTTAATTTATAAAAACTTGGGTTAAAGGTTCAATTGATGTAATAGGCATTCAATTATTTATAAATTATTCAATTAACAGGGGTAAATGCATGTATATTATTATTTGTAATGAATCATATATCATAAAACAAAGTTTGAATAGAGTAGAAAAGTTTAATGAAAGTTAAATAAAAAAAAATAATCATGAATAATTTTAAGATTTGATAAATTGAATGTGCTTCATCTAAAAAGTTTAAATTTTATTCGACATTTGATGTTAATTCAGAACAATATATATATATATATTTTTAATTAACCGTATCATATAAAAAAAAAAAACATTTAGCCTTTCATCATTGCAATTATGAGATTTTAAATTCAATGATCATAATATTAAAACAATAAAAATAATTATATATACTTGTACATTTGAAAATATAGCAAATTAAGTTCATTATTCATTGACCTAGCTAATTAAAAATAAGTCATCCAATTTTAATATTATATTTAAATGATACATCATTGATTGAGTGGTTGATCAGATATGTTAATATTCAGGCAATATTTATTTAACCTAAATAAAGAATTAAGTTTAAAAACAATCTTTTTTCATCAATTAACAGTATACTATTTTCCCCAATATTTTTAATGACTGATGTAGTTGTCTACATTATTTAGGATAATTCCCATATGAATAATTCATGAGCACTACAAATAATTTATTCATTATTAAAAAAAAAAAAACATTCTTGTTATAAAGTATAAAGTAAAAATATTCATCTCAAATCTGGTACTATTGCCTACTTTAATGATTTGTATTTGTATAGTTGAGTAATTAATGCTTATAAACAATTCCATTTAATTAAACAAATAACTTTGACTGTTATTCAAACAATTTTCATATGAATAATTTATTAATAAAAAAAAAATTACCTATTATGATCAACAAAAAAAAAAAAATGACTTCAGAAAAGTATGCTAGCATGATTTATTAATAAACAATGAGAAAATCAAGTATTTTCATCTAACAATTGTTAGCATAGAAAAATATTCTATATTGTCAAAACTTACACATCTTCAAAATGTTAATGCTTATATTATTCAACATTTATTTTAATGTTTTTATAGTTTATATTAATACAATTAGATTTTTCATCTTATAATGAATCATATTTAAAAGAGCTATGATTTGGCAACTTTTTTAGCACACTAGCTTATTGTTGCATTAAAATAATTCAATCATTTTTCTTACTGTGACACGCATCTCTCATGATCTGTTATGTTGTACAAGTTGATTAATGAAATTCTTATAAGAGTTTAATGATATTGTTTTCTTTAATCTTAAACTTTAATGTCTTTTTTAGTAATAACTGTAGACTATTTTTATAAATAAAAAATTTTAGAAGTCAAATGAAATATGTATTTAAAATTATAAAAGTTACTATAGATAGAATTGTGCGGTAATTTATATGGTATTTGATAATTGACAATGTTTGATTTAATAAAACTTTGAACATTTCTTTTTATATATTTTGAAACTGGGTAGTGACAATTTTACCACAACTGTAAATAAACAAGTACAAGGTGAATATTTTTAATATTTAAGTATTAGATCATAGTGTAGAGGTTATACTAATTTATCGGAGAAACTGATTATGTTTATCTCAGTACTGTGCTTATTGTCTTCATTTATTTATTACTTATATAAACATTGCTATTTAATATTTAATTAATTTTTTTT